AAGAAAATGAGGTATATATACACAATGGAATACTACTCAGTAGTCAAAAAAGATAAACTCATGCCATTTGCAGTAACATGGAAGCAACTGGAAGGGGTCATTCTAAGCAAAGTGAGCCAGAAAGATAAATACTGATGGCTTCACTTACATCTGGAATCTAGAGAAACTAACAGAGGATCAGACAAAGCCAAAGTCTAAGACTGACCCTTGAAAGCAGACCATAGATCTGAGACACTTGGGTGGGGGAGGGAAGGGAAAGGGGAGAGTTGATAATAGGGGCAGGGGAGGAGAGCCTGGTGGAGTATGGTGGAGGTCTGTGGGCACGTTGGTGGTGGAAAAACTATTGTGACCACACCAGAGGGGAGAAATCCTATATAGTGAATAAATGAACAAGGATATTTGAAAACAAACAAACAAAATAACCCAAAAGAACAGACAACTAAAGCAATAGGCTTGTGAAAAATAGCCAATAAATAATAAAATTAAGAATTCTGGATGTAAAGTTTAAAATGTTAAATTGACGTGGAATGTACAAAAACCTTACTAAAACTATCTTTACAGGCAGATCTACTGAAATACACTGCTAACGGGAGCAGCGGGCGAGACAGAAGAGGTCTGCTGCATCTTATGTGGGTCAGCTCCCTGATCAGGGATAGAACTAAGTCCACAGAGGTTATAGCACTGATCCTTAACTCCTATGCCACCAGGGAGCCCTGAAGAATTAATTTAAAATCAAAGTGGTCACTTATTTAGAGGATATTAATAAGGAGACATATGAGGCAAGGATACATGAAAGTCTAGCTATCCTGAGAAGCCAAGCCCGAAAAACTCAAAGGTGGTTCTGATAATACCCTCTACAGCAGTATAAATATAAAAACTAAATTAAGCCTGAGACTGCCCATGAGCTTTCCAGATTTTGCATCTGCCACCAAAAGTCTCTGTCCAGAGAGCAGCACTCTCTTCTGAGAGGAGCTGACACCCTGGGAAGTTCTGGACCAAACACCATTGCTCTCCTGTTGGTCTCCTGAAGCCCATCTGAGCAGTTGTTAACCTTCCTCCTTTTATTGCCAATTGGGTTGTATGTTTATATCATTGCAATGTGGATCTTCCCCAATATATCATATTGTTATTACATGTGAGTGGCTTGAACTGTCAGTGAAACCTCTCCATCCAGGTGGAAGGTAGCATGTTGAAATTGCCACCTCTTATTACAGAGTTCTACAACATTCTTCACCTATTAATCAGCATTCATATTAAGAAAATAAAATAAATAGAATCTATAGATTCAATGAGAAGTTATATGATGATACTTTCAGTACTTTCTAAAATGTGGAAAAATAGAAGCAGGGAAGAGCTGCTTTCCTAGTCTCAGAGGAAAAGAATAATGACCTCACTGCTCGTGACTGAAAGGAGGCAGTCCCTTGACTTTTTTAAGGTTGAGCTACTGCCAGCAGGATTAAAAGAAGCTCATCGAATGTTTATGCCAAAAGAACATTTGTAATTGGAGTTCTGAAAAGGAGGGAAAAAAAAACCAGGGTTGGGTGGAGGGTGGGTGAATGTTTCCAGGCAAGGATAGCCAACCTTAGGGGTTTTTTTTAAGCATTTTTCAAAAGATATTTATTTATTTATTTATTTATGCAAGAGCTGGGGTGCAACTACATCTAATCACTCAGCTAAGAATGTACTTCTGCCTGCAGGTAAACCTCTTTGGGACTATATTACTTACCCTCAAATTGACAACAAATCTGCATGTATTTAGAGAACAAGTGGTTTTCTTTTTTTTCACTTAAGGATTTATGTTAAATAAATGTCTATGGGACTTCAAACCATGGCTTCTGACATATTCACCTTTAATTCTTTGAGGGTGTGGACATATCATTTGGCCATTCTCTGGCCCTACCTGAATCCACTGCTGTGCTAGTGGCCCTCTTTGCAGGGGAAGTTCATTGAAAGGAACGACTGTTGGAGCAAAAAAAGCAAGATCTGAAGGAATAAGATGTCACAGCAGAATGACTTTCTTCTTTTCCTAATCTTTAATGCCAAGAACTGCTTGTACTTTTCTGTGTGAAATCAACAAAGGAAATGAGGTAATACAATGCATTTCTGTTGTAAAAAATTATTAAATTTTTCTTTGGGAAGAGTTATATTTATTTATTTCTCTCTCCTTCAATTTGCATTTAGACAAATGTTTAGATTATTTCACAAACATTAACTTCTCAAATTTAGTTAAAAATTAAAAAAAATAACTTAAAGCAGCCAGAAATTCTTTCAATTCTCAGTTCTCTGAAATTCCCTGCAGCTACAGAATTTTCTGGAAATGAATGTGATACAAATACAGAGAGGTGAAAAGATCAAAGGAAAAAAAAAGTTCAAAGGAAAACACCTAAAACATAGTATTCAATGACATAACAATGTAATAGAGTGGCAAATATGACAAATCATTAATATCTTTATTATATGAAATAAGAATTCAAATGGATATGATAAAAGATACCAAAGAGAAAGATGATTAAAAGAGACAAGTAAGAACTACATCTGGAAAAGTTATCCAGCTTGTCAGTAACCTAAACAAACAAAATAAAAGAATATTTGTTTCTAGCCAATAAAATTCAAAATAAAATAATCTTTTTCCCATTAAAAAAAATAAGATGTCTTTCGGGTTCAAAAAATATTAAGAAGCTTAAGAAAATGGGGTTTCATCTACCATGTTTGAAAGACTCGGCTGTGACAACTGGCCTAGTTTCTCTTTCCTCCAAACTTCAAAGACTTTGAGGAAGTTTGAAGAAACATCTGGTTTTCCAAGAAACACAACTGGAAGGCTACTCTGTTTAATAACACCTCATACTGATAAAAAACAAACAAACAAAAAAAAAACTATGCCATGGACATACTCTCATAATGTTGATGAGATTCTCAATGTTGTCAACCACTTTAAACAGCAAGCTGGCAATATACCATAACAATCACATCCTTTGACTACTTGTACTTCTGAGAACTTGTATTAGCTATATTGCATGCAGAGAGTAATTACAGCATTATTTAGATGGGCAAACTCTAGAAAAAATTCATGTATTCAACCATTCAGTAAACACTGAGCAAATGACCTTTCAAAGGTTCAAGCTGCTATTAAAGGATGAGAGGAAAAAAGAATAGCAGGGGGCAAGGTTTGGAAAAGCCTTGAAGAAGCTCATTGGGTAGTGCCTACCATGTCCATTACTAATGGTAGCATTTATCTTATGAGAGGGCTATCATTCCTTACATTAACCTAGTCTAGATACCATACCACCAGAGAATATGATGAAAACTGAAAAAGAAAATATGTAAGGTTAAGGCATTAATATTATTCTATTGGAGTTCTTCATGTGAGACCATAACACTGATAAGCAAAGTCTTCCTGAGGAAATAAAGATCAAAAAACTCAAAACATATTTTTGGGACTTCCTATATTAGCTATGAACCTGGGGAATTGCTCCTGACCAAAAAAAAAAAAAAGGTTGCAGGGGAAGGGTACATGGAGTTGTGGGGTAACAGTGGTTTCTGCCATATGAATGTGGATTAGGGATTAGTAGCTTAAAATAAATACTATCCAGTTTGTACATAAAATTATCCAGTTTCATATTCTTTTCTGTGTTCATTCCCCCTGTGTAATTGCTTATCTTTAATAAAGCCTTAATGCAATGACACCAGTCTAGTTTCACTTGAGTTGTAACTAAATGATTCATGTCCAAGGTGTATATAGCCAGAGGGTGCAAGAGAATATATCCCAGTCCATCATCCATGACTTGACATAGTGTAATGATAGCAAAGGCGATGACCAAAGGTCCCCTAGCTTAGGAAAGGAGCTTCTCAAAGGCTAAGGGCAGGTCAACAGGCTCAACAGCCCCATCCCAGGTGCAGATCTATCTCAGGTATGGAGACATCCTCTATCACCATCCTTCAAGGGGTTGGAGTTGATGGGAGTACAGGAGTCTGTTTTGAGTCTCAAGAATATTTAAAAACTTAAATTAAAAAAATAAGCATTTAAAAATATAATAAGGGCCTCCCCAGTGGTGTAGCGGTTGAGCGCTGGGTTGCGAAGCTGCCCGCAGCATCTGCAGCGCCGGTTCGATCCCCGGCTGCTCCCCGGCCACCAGAGGAGGGTCTCGCATGGCGCGCGGACCTCTCCTGCCTCCCGCTGCTCCCTGTCTACTGCTCCCCTCAGCAGTGTACTTCGGTCCTTCTGCCTGCTCTACTCCCCGCTCTGGCTCTGGTGAATTCTCTCACCCTCCCTCGCTTCTGACTGTACCCAGTTCTTGTATAAATAAATAAAATAAAAATAAATCTTAAAAAATATAATAAGACCAAGAAAAGGCAAATAACTTGAGCACAAAAAAGCAAACAAACTAAGACACACCTTAGGCTATTGCAACTTTTTGTGCTTGTCTAATTCCAAATGGGAGCAATTTATCAAAAGTATGTGGGAATGATTACTTTAGGTAGAGGGTGCAAGTACAAATAAAAGCAACATTGCATCTTAAGTTTAAAGCAAAACCAAGCAAAAAGATATTCTAGTGTAATAATTTATTCACCAGGAAAAAACAGAGACACAAGTATAATCAATGTCATTAGGTTTTGTTTTTGTTTTTTAAAGAACAGCAATTCAAAAGTTAATCTAATTCAACCTTGGAATAACTACTTTCGGTAAGCATAGCATGCATCTAAATTTCCTAATCAGTTGCACCCTATATTTACAGGAATTTTAATCATTCTACAATGTAGTGGACTGGACTGTGAGTCTCTGCTGTCCTGCCATAATATAAAGTGTACCACTATCTTTCTGGATGGTTTTCCTTTTATTTTCTCTCACTTGTTTTGTATTTATTTTATCTTGGGTATTTCATATATCTTTGTAAGGCATTAAATGATATTCTGGAAGAAAGTGGAATATAAACAAACATCACTTTTCTCTCCTAATATTATTCTTTGTGAAATTACCTTTTCTCTCTGATGATTACTCTTACCTTAGGCTGTTTGCAAAGGTAGCGACAGAGTTCTCCAATATACTGAAACACTGTCACATTATACTTTTTACAGTCATTCCAAAATTGGCTTGCTGAGAATTTCTTCTTTAACACACACGTAGCACCTAAAAGAAAAAGTAAAAACTGCCACTAGGGAAAAATTCAAGGACAGAATTAACATAAAACACAAAGGATGTTGGTCTGTCTACAATACTTTTCCTCAGATTCAAAGCTTTTATAATTTATAACTGACCATTTATCTCAAGCTTATTTCACAACATTAATCCAATAAATCTTCAAAAAAATTCATGTTGCAGCTTTATTTTTTGACTACAAATATACTTTTTGCAATACATGGGATGAAAGAAGTCATCAAAATTAGTAAAGAGTTACAAGTATTAGTACAAGACTACAGATAAGAGTCCTCCTTCTACCAGAAACAAAAATATTCACTGATTCTTGACCTTGGCTATATACATTTTATTTATTTTTAGACCTTAAAAAGCAATCTTCAGGTCAGAAGCTTGAGGTCAAGAATTAGCAATGTCAATAAGAAGGTAAGACATTTGAACATGTTCCAAGGAAAATGTTAGTATCTTGATCCTCACTTTTATTCATTGTGGACAGTCATCATATTTTAAATATTCCACACATTTATTGTAACTTAGACATGTATAATTAGTAGTGAATGAGCTCTCTCTCTATATTATTCAGGGTTAGCTGGTTATTACTAATGTAAGCGTATTTGTGAAGAGAATCCACTGTGTGACAAATGATACCAATGGACTTAGTGACAATCTAGTGTATGTTGTTTTCACAGAGAGCTTTGACAATTCCTTCTATGCAAGTGCCCTCACAGTGTGACTTTGCTTAAATCTAGATTGACTTGTGCTTGCTTTGATCAATGCAGGTAAAAAGACCACGTGACTTCCAAGGGTAAGCCTTAAAAGCTATGAAGCTTTCACATTTACTCTTGTGTAAGGCACCTACCACCATTTAAAGAGGCAGTGGTAGACCATAACAGGATGGAGGGAGAAACTTGGTCAAGAGCCACCTCTACACACATGGTCGAATTACAGGGGCTGCTTTTTCCATTTCAAGAATACTCAGTATGTCATGAAATTGTGTCCTTTTCATAGGCATTGTATTATATGATATGTACATAATCACTCTGACTTCTACTTCAAACTTTAATGAACACAAGTTCTAATTATTAGGTATTTTGAAAACCTATCAAAAAGAAAATAAAAACTTACCTAATTCAATACATCCACCAATTCCCAGGAGAGATCCTGAACTATGATACAGAGGAAGGGTTATATAAATGATGTCTTCAGCAACACAACCAAAAGCCCACAATCCAGCAGAACCCTTTAAAGTCTGCAGTTGAGTAATCACAGCTGCTTTTGGTAGACCTGGAAGAAAAGAAGCAGAAAAAAATGCGTTGATGTCATAGAAAGTAAGGCTACACTGACGTACAAATGCAATGAAGGCAAAATATATCCAATTTTTCTATGTGCTTTATAAAAGAGTCCATGTAAAGGCAAGTTACTGTTGTAAGTTCCAGAATCTATACTCTATCAGAAGGGTCAAAACTGCAAAATTACATGGATTTTGAGAGATATTTGGTTTCAAAGAGCCAAGTATGCTTTAAGAATGCACAAAATGACAAAACTCTAAAAATGTACAACCAGAAAAGACAAATCACAATGTAATTCTAAACCATATTTAAAGTAGCAAGTTTCTAACAAACTCTTTCAAGTAACATTCTATTTCAATGATGAGCCATTCATTTTGCCATGCTTAACATGCCCTTAAAACCGAGCATTACAGATATCAGATTCCATGAGGCAACATAATGAAACTGTTCTATACATTCATGATCCAAATGTAGTGTTCTCTTTTAATTTCAGTCTTCGTCCATGAAAAGCAGACATTGTAATTAGTGTAGAAAAAGTTTTGTATATAATGCTTTTGTGAGCAGTTTTAGCTCACATATTTTCCATATTGGTAAAGTCTTCTCTATTTATCATGTCAGCATAATAAATTTATCCAGTTAATAGAAAATGTAACTGGGTATTTATGGTTGAGTATGGGTGATATTTTATTTGTTTCATGCTATATTTCCATACCATGGAACACAAATTGTTTTCTCAATGGTAACTATTATATCTGGAATTAATTTATTAGATTACATGGCATTACAGTTATATCTTATCAGTTCAAAGAGTCCTAATATTTTCATAAAGTCTTTATGCAGAGGGTCCCTTCTCAAATCTATCTTGTCAATAAAGTTATTCTGCTTCATAAAACACTATGGTGATAGAGTATCCAATGTCTCAGAAGCAAGCAGAGTCCCAAGGCTGGGAGGGCCCAGGAAGCAAACAAATAATAGTAAGATCAGGAGTGAAGAGCACAGACAGTACAGCTTTAATGTGGCCTCTCTTATTTTACTTTTATTATTTTTTAAGGATTTGTTTATTTATTTATGCATAGAAGAACAGGGGTGTAGGCCAGAGGTGTGGGGGTGAGGGGATTCACCAGAGACAGAGCAGGGAGCAGAACAGGCGGATCGACTGAAATACACTGCTGAGGGGCACAGCAGGTGAGACAGGAGAGGTCTGCTGCCCCATATGTAGGTTAGCTCCCTGGCTGGGGATCGAATTTAGGCCATGACGGTGATAGCACTGAGACTTAACCCCTAGGCCACCAGAGAGGCCCCTCTATTTTTTTTAACCCCATGGGCTGATATAGGTCTACTTAGTCATTTGTCAAAGGAGTTGGTGAAGATGGGAGTGGGAGGGGGGTTCACTAACATCAGAAGCTCTGCAAACATGTTGCACCCCTGACTTGACTTTGAAAATTCCAGGAATTGACTCCTACATTTAACATTGTCCATCCTAGATTGGAGCAGTTCATTGCTATGTCTGCTTGCCTAACACATTAAATATTCTCCCATGCCTGAATTTTTATAGGCAAAACCTTCCACCTGCTTCTTACGTGCTTTTCCGGATATGCCCTCATCTCATGTGATGCTGTGCTGCTGATGTTTCTTCCTGGATCTCTTTGCCACTGACTACTTACATGTCCTGCCTCAATTTCCTTGATGCGACACTCTTTCAACTGACATTTTGACCCACACTTGTAGCTCTACATGCAGCACTTGTATCTCATTCAGACAAATAGCTCTACCCATTCCATACAAACTAAAGCCCAATTTTGGTCTTGTAGCTCTTCTCTTCTCTTCTCTTGCAGTAAAAAGAACTACTTATATATTCAACTGTCAACTGGGCCATCTTGAATACAGAGTAGGACATTCTTTTTTTAGTTCAAAATGTTTATTCATGAAATTAAGTTTTCAACAATCAAGTGACATCACCAAGATGGTGACATAGGACAATCCCTGCTTCACTCTTCCTCACCACAGGAACAATTAACTACTGTTTGGGAAGGGCCAATATTGAGAGACTCCAAAAGCCCAGGGGTGAGGCTAAAGTACCCTCTGCACCTCAGAGGTGAATACAGATGACATCAAAAGGGACGTCAGAGAAATCCATGCATCAGTGCAGGGAAGGTGGGTGGAGAGATATCAAGGAGCTAGTGTTCTCAGGTGACCATAGATGCCAGGGCTACTATCCCAATCAAAGGCCAAGGGTAAGGAAAAGTAGAGACAGTGTGAAAGTCCATGCCCTTGGCCAGGTGAAATCCAAAGTGGAGGCACTGAGGTAGGAAAACAACTTAATTCAAAGAGATATATGTATATCTCAGTTTACACAGTAACCAAGAGATTGAAATGATCAAAGTGTCCACTGATAGATGACAGGATAAAGAAGATCAAGTATATATATGCAATGAAATGTTCTTCAGGTATATAAAAAAATACGAAATCCTAACATTTACAACAACATGGATGGATCCAGAGGGTAAAGCTGAGTAAGATAAGTCAGATAGAGAAAGACAAACACTATATGAATTCATTTATATGAGGTATATAAAGAACAAAACAAATGTATGAACTATATAAAACAAAAATAAGCTCATAGACTATAGGACCAAATTAGCAGTTGCTAGAAGACAAAGAGAAAGGAATGGTGAAGAATGGGATTAGTCTTTTAGTGGTGAACATAATTTAATATACATAGATGTTGATTTATAGCAATGTACACTTGGAACACATAAAATCATAAAATGTATAAACCAATGTTACTTCAATATGAAATTGTTTAAAAAAAATCCCAAATGGGGGGGCCTCCCCAGTGGTGCAGCGGGTTGAGCGCAGCACTGTGAGCCTGTCCGCGGCCTCTGCAGTGCAGGTTCAATTCCTGGCTGGCCAGGGAGATATCCACAAGGCAAGGCAGACCTCTCCTGTCTCACCCGCTGCTCCCCTCAGCAGTGTCTTTGGTCCATCTGCCTGTTCTGCTTCCTGCTTTGTCTCTGGTGAATCCTCTCACCCTCCTGTGCTTCTGGCTTGTACCCCAGTTCTTATATAATAAATAAATCTTTAAAAAAAAATCCCCAGTGGGAATCATGGGGTTTTTGATCACAAAGGCACCTTGAGTTATGAAACACAATCTATAGTAACTTCCAGGTATTTTACCCAGATATCCTCTAGTTCACCTTCTTACTGCATGTGTTCTGACATTATTTGACAGACTTTGTGCTCCCTATTTCTACTAATCAGACCAGTTTTATCTCATAGGCTAAGTTGACAATAATTGCCTATTATTCTACCTAATGTTCACTTCGTTGATTCCACAAAAGAGGACTATGTGGCTCTTCCTGATAGCCTGGCATCACACAAACCAAGCTTACTGTCATCTACAACCTAAGTGCCAACAACAGATGACTAGACCAAGATGATGTGGCACATATGTGGCACACGATGGAATATTATTCAGTTATAAAAGAAGATTTGTGAAATGGATGGGAAGGAGGGGATTATGCTAAAATAAGCCAGAGGCAGACAGACAAATATTGAATGATTTCACTTATGTGAAATATAGAGGAAAAAAACAAAGGAACTAAAAATCTAAACAAAACAAAGTTTAGAAATCGAAGCTTCTAGAGGAGTGCCAGGGTGGACTGTAAACGATGCGGGAAATTGGCTCATAGTAAAGGATCAAGGGATATGGGTGCTCTAGGGTGGGTAGGGTGTGGTGACATACATGAAGAAGTGTAAGCCTATTCCTCTGAATCATATACAGTTGTATAAACCAATGTTATCTCCAAAACAAAACAAAACAAAACAAAATAAAACAAACAAAAGCAAAGCATTCACAAGAGTATCTACTTTTTCTCTGCTTTTGAGAAGTACTCATCCTTAGTTCTACAGTTACCGATTTCCCTGTCCCCAACATATTTCCTGATCTCATGGCAACCCATTTTTTAAAAGAATCACTTTTAATTGGAGACTTGTCCAAAAAATTATGCTTTATCCAGTTACTTTCCTACTAAAGGCTTATGTCACTTCTTCAAAGCACTTTAGGCAACTAATTAGGATATTTCCAGGATGATGGTGGAAAACAAATCCAGATCAGTAAGAGAGTAACTAGTGAAAATGAAGCAGCTGGGGGAAGCAAAGAACATGGGCTTAACAAAATGCAAACAGTATTTTCCACATATACATGTAAGTTACTTTTTGATAAGGGGTTGAGTATGAACCAGTTATAATGTACAAAAAATAAGTAGACAAATAAGCAGAAACAATGATTAATTTGAGGCTGGGGAGCATTTTAAATGATAAGAAATAAATATAATTTTAGCTAGAAAGATTGTTTACTAAGCTAATGATACCAGTCAATGTAAAACTTCTGATGAAACACTATTAGGATGATGCAGAGGAGAGAATGTGCAGCAGAACAAAAGAAATGACAAGAGAGAGAGTGGGTGATGAAAGGAAACAAAATCATCATCATCCACTGTGAAAAATCAGCAGACACTTTTTAGGAAGTATTGTAGGACAAGCCTCCCAAAAATGTTCAGATAGAATTTTCTGAGATGGTTAGGGTATGCTTTCCAATACATGTCACCTTGGCATGTGGAAGGTCAATTGAGACCCTGAGGGTTTCAAGAGAAAGTGTTCCTATTACCTTAAAGAATGAAGATTACCCAGATTTAGGATCATCTCTAGAATTAACTTTTTTTTTTTTTAAATCAGAGAAACCTATCTTAAGGTAGGGCAAACATTCCTTCTAATAGGAGTCATTTTCTCCTTGTCATGTGAAACATGCCCACCCCCTCATTCCTGGACATCCCAAGCAATTATTCCATGCTTTATCTTAGGATATAAACCTTCAGCTTGTCCAATTTACTCTAAAGTTTACAGTCATGTAAATTCCTCATGGATGTGTAATTAGGTTGAGTATTTTTCTTAGTCTTTTCACTTAACTATCTGGCTGGTGTTATTTTTTTGTTGTCACCTGACCAGCCTAAAAAGAACCCATGGGGATGGGAGACCTTTCCTCTGTACCCCTTATCTATTAGTATATAGGGGAAGATATTCATTCTATTTAAAGATATGGAAGTGGGCCTCCCCGGTGGCACAGCGGTTGAGCGCTGGGTTGCGAAGCTGCCCACAGCCTCTGCAGAGCCGGTTCCATCCCCGGCTGCTCCCCGGCCACCAGAGGAGGGTCCCACATGGCGCGCCGACCTCTCCTGCCACCAGTTGCTCCCCTCAGCAGTGTACTTCAGTCTGCCTGTTCTGTTCCCCGCTCTGATCTGGTGAATTCTCTCACCCTCCCGCGCTTCTGACTATACCCAGAGCTTGTATAAATAAATAAAAATAAATCTTAAAAAAAAAATAAAGATATGGAAGTGGCTGTAAAAATGTCTAAAAATACTGAATGCTATTGGTTTGGGGATGAAGAAATGAGGATGAGCGCATGGGATGCTTCTCTTTAAGATTTCTAAAACTATTAGAAATGTTCATCTTTATACTGTATAACTCTAATGCAAATAAATGTCAGGCAGAAAAAAAACAGGGGGTGAGAAGATTCACCAGAGACAGTGGGGAGCAGAATAGGTGGATCTACTGAAATAGACTGCTGAGGGGAGCAGCGGGCGAGACAGGAGAGGTCTGCTGTGCTGTGTGTGTCAGCTCCCTGGCTGGGATCAAACTCAGAGTGAATTCTTAGGGAATATCTTTATTCTTTTGTTGTTGTTTACCTAAAAACGTTTAGCTACTTGATTCTATTCTGTGTCTTCTCCCAAATCTGCAATGCCTTCGAGACTTCCCATTTCCCTAAGGAAAATCCGAAGAGCCTGCTACAAGAGTCTAAATTGTGGCTATATTTGTATTGTGCTTAGGATTTCTCATTTCACACAAGACTATAGAGAACAGTTTTAAAATAGATTGACAGGTTTTTTTTTTTTTTTTTTTTTTTTAATCTAGAAGGCTAATTGGAAACTATTTAAACTATTCTCTTCATTTTATAGCCCAGGAGCCAATGGAACAAAGAAGCTAGCAAAGACCTTGTGAAAGGATCTGGCCAGATTTCAGAGTTTAACTAGGTTGGTCCAGTCTACAGAACTTCCAACGCCTTTCGTACTCTCAAACTTAAAGAAAATCTTTTCAAATGATACAATAACAAGTGAACATAGTGACTTCCCAAGGTAAAGTCAAAGCATTTGAAATTTTCACCCAGGTTCGACAGTTCTTGCATCTGAGAACTCCAAGTTTTCCTGGAACTTTTTCTGAGATGTTTGATAACTACACATGGCAGAAAGTTTGCCAATCCTGGTTGTTTGCCAATAGATGGAATCTTTCTAAGTTTTAAGGAAAAAGAGTGACCAAACCTGTTGTTCCAGAGGTAAAGATATAAAGACAAGGAGATTTGAGGTTTGAGGTGACATGGTAGCTGCGTGGCACAGGCTTGTCAGATGCCGTGGTCAGTTTCTCTGTGAGTGAAATTACACCTTTTGGAACAGAATCTTTCATCCCCCAAACGCTGATATCTTCTGGGAGGTTTGGAAGGATTTCTTCTACAGTTCCAAGTAAATCTAAAACCAAAGAGATAGTGATAAGTAAGCAAAAGCTAAATCTCAGATCATGTATCTTGTGTTTTCTCTTTTGGAACTGGGGTACAATGTAAATACAATGCTGATTTCTGTAATATTCCAGCTGTTTTATGGTTCAGTTCATAACAGGCAAATCTGGTTATTGTCTGATTAAATCAGTGCAAACTGGCCAATTCTGATTGAATTTGAGAGACTCCATTATTCACACTATACCCCCTCCCCCAATTTTAAAGTAAGATTATTTTGAAGTTTGTTTTAAATCTGAATTCAGGATACTACATTAAACTTTTCCTCAGAGTACAACTAAATAATTCCTCATTCCAAAAAGCCACCTGTCTGTCACTGTTCAGTTTTGCTATAATACAACACACTGGGGAGAATCCCTTGACTGCTCACAAAATAACAAGATTATTATGGTTTAGAGACCACTTCAAGGCCAAAAGATAAATGAGGTGATTTACGAATGTCCTTTCCTCTGGTTTAGGATAATTAAAGATAAAAACCCATGAAAACAGAAAGAGAAAATGCCTGTAGAAAAGGCAGTAAGATTCACAGTATGGCAAAAATATGCAAGTAAATAAAAAATCACTTGTCTCGGACAGCTGATGAAGTTCTCAGCTATTAACAAAGACTCAGAGTCTAAATGAATTTGCAGCCGGGGAAGGCTGGGGAGTGCCATCCAGAGCAACTCTGTCTTTCACTCTCCCAGCCCAAGCTTTTATTAAAATATGAAGAAAGGAACAAGAAAATAGTATGCAATTGTATTTATGCTTATACAAATTAATAAATTACTGCTGGAACAAGTCTTTTTAGTTAGCAGGGAACATGCATGCAAGCCAGCATGTACTTGAGAACAGGAGTCAATTTGGGAAGAGGTTCTGTTTGCAGAACCTCTAGGCAGCAGGCTCCCAACAGTCACTGAGTGCTCCTATATACCTGATAGTTTAGGGGTTTCCTTTAAAAAAAAAAGATTTATTTATTTATGGGGCCTCCCTGGTGGTGCTAGGGGTTAAGATGCAGCACTATGAAGCTATCTGCAACTACTGCAGCATGAGTTTGGGTGTTTCCATCTGAACTCTTGGCCTATGCTTCAAGGTCACACAAAAATCTATTTGTGAATGGGCAACTAGATTTTCAACATTCCATTGGGTCACTATGAGTCACAAGACCACACCTGAGGCAGGAGGTTTTAGTGTAATAGGTGCTAAAAGAAAGTAAATGTGAATTTTAAGGTGGCAGAGGGAGGGGTAAGGAAAAGGAGCAGGATGGGGCTGGAGATAAGGGAAAGAAGAAAATGGGAAAAGCTGGAGCTGAAATAATGAACATGAGGAGAAATGGCGACAAACACAAGCATGAACCTGACAGATTTCTATGTCTTAGCACCAGAAAATTCAGGCTCCAGTTGCCACACTGTCTTACCCCACCTAACCCATGAGTTCCTTATCTTTAAAGCAAGGTTATGACTGAGCTGAGAATCATATAAGATGTGTACAAAACACGTTATAATTTATTAACAACTTTTAAAAGGAAGGGGTTACTATTATTTATTATTACTACTATATATGAAAAGGCTATAGTTACATATACTTTTCAAAATCATATATAAGTATCCCAACATTTTTCTGTTTATTCTAAGAGAAAAGCACATATAGGTAAGTGGTAATATTGGAAGGATGCAATACTAGTGAAACCACGGTTGAAATTCTGGGTGAAAGGACTAAGGTTCAATTTAAAACTACTTAATTTTCAATAAGCACTGAAATTTTCCAAGGAAATTTGTGATGTCTCTTGACATTTCTTCTAAACCAAGCTATACAGATACAAAACCACTTGCAAGTATTTTTGAGACTTCAAACTACAAGAGAAGGGAATACTAATTTTAAAAAGCATTTCACTTGTTTTATATTACTGTTTTATAGTTTGCAAAAATCCAATGTCTTATTATTATTAACTTTTATTTTACTTTTCAGATAGCTAGCATAAAGTTTTTCATGGTTATATCAACAGGGGATTGACAGTTCACAAAACAACTGTATGACCATCTAGCAGATTCATAGAGACCAGGTTTTGAGTCTTTGTCCTGTATTTGACTAAGTTGCATCAACCAAGATACCCTAAGTGACTTTCTTTCCCTCTTAACTTTCGTAAAAACATGGCTGTGTACCTTCCTTTCAGAATCATTGGGAGTGCCTTTTATATAAAGAGCCTTGAGTAAATGGGAACTGCCAATATTTCTGTTAATGATAACAATAGCAAGTATAACATTTGCCTAGGGTTTAGCTGATGAATTATCAGAAACCTGGCATGGACTGAAACTCTGCCTGTACTGCCTGTAAAACCTATTTGAAGCTGGTTCTGAAAAATAACATTTCATTGAAACCTACCAAAGTAAAGCGTTCAAAGTCCATTTCCAAACAAACTGCTTACTAGCATTTCTTATAGCTAACGCCATATTAGTTTGTACCAGTAAAATACAAATGAGACCCCTTTTTAAAAGTCTCAAATGACTATAATAAAAATAGCAATTACTTCAATTCACCAAGGATCTAGTTAGTGCACACTAAGCACTCAGCTAGCCACTTTACAAAAGCTAGGTCATTTACTCCTCAGAATTACATTGTGAAGTTAGAGGGTATCATCACCATTTACAACTAAGTCAAGTGAAACCTAGCAACTGATGATCTTATCTTAAATCATACCGCTAAGATATGACAGACCATAAAAGAGATTCAGGTCTGTCTGGCTTATCTCTCTCTAAATCACTTCTCTGGTCTCTTCACCTCAATCCACTCTCCCTGGAGATAAAATGACTGAATAGTACATCTCCATCAGAAGCATCCAGTGAGAACCTAGGACCTATACAATTTTAAATTCTAAAAGCTATATGTATATATAGTTGACCAATTAGATTCAAGAGGCCAAGAAAATAGTATTACAGAGTAAGAGTTTAAAGTACAGAAAAGTGACTGTGATCTACAATAAGCCATAACTTAGATCAAAATAGAATTGCCCCATCTTTCAAAACGATGTAATTTATATACTTTTAGTAGGCTAAAATGAAACATTAGTAAGATTTAAGTTTGAGCTCTCTGGCTACCTATTTATTGAGCAAATCAACTGACTGATTTTGGCTAAAGACTCCAGCATCCCACAGTGGCCCTTATTTACAAAAAACTGACTGAGGATGTTAAAAACAAAAACAAGGAAACAATGCAATTAGTTATTGGCAAGCACAGCACAAAGTTGGCACAAGTAAAACTGCAGAATTAATTGGTCCTAATTAAGCAATAACTCAGTCAACAGCAAAGTCTGAATGCTCTATTTTGAGAAGGAAGCAGCCCTATGCACTTTTAATCACACCTGAGACCATGTACGGGATGTTTCTCAGGTTGGCCTCAACATCGTAGCCACAGAAATCTTTTCAGTGGTACTGTGGTCCTCTTAGTTTGCTCTTCTAGAGGAAATGTATGGTTTTATCAATTCATACCACAATTTGAGGTTTAGATTTGCTCCAGAATTGCAATCTAAATTAGACTGAATGGGAATTTGGGAAGTGAACCCTGAGATGAACTGTGACATTTTCCCTCCCACCTTCACATGATCACTTGCCTGCCGCACAAGTGGTAAACATTGGTGGACCATGTTATCAAAATTCTCTATGACTCATTAATTCTACTTATCGCTAATGAGAAAAGTTATCATGCTGGTGTTACACTAAAGTTTTCTAAGGCGAGAAGCCAAATTTCAATCCTGAAAGCAATGACTGCTGAATGAAAAACTGTGAACCAAAAAAGCATACAAGACTTCCTGGTTTCTCCATTCCTCTAACTTAAATAAGATAAAATCAGGCCTTGAGAGTAAATATTTTATTACTTTATAGGTCACAAATTGAGCTGGAAAATAAACCAGCACAAAGGAAAGTGATAGTCTTAAATGACTGTTTTATAATGTATTGCCCAACTCATTTTTGGGTTGTGTCCAATTATTCTATGACAGAAGTTACCTGAAAATGTCTGTATTTTAGAAATTACTCAAGTACAAATGAAGATTATTTTTCCATACTGCTCTTTGCATTTGAAAACACTGCATGAAGTATTGATATGAATCTATTAATCTAAAATACTTAGGTTGTTACTATGGTATTTGCCCGTACCCTCCTTCTTCCTATCACCATGTCAGAAGAATAAGCATAAACCATTTAGCTGATACTAAACAAGTCATTTTTCATACTTCAACTCCATTTTGTGAACTAACCCTTCTTCCTAGGTTCTCTGTTAACAAGGCATTTAAGCAAAGACTTTCTTTTCATTGTTCCGTGTCAGTGTGTATATCTAAAGCAACCTAAGAGAGAAGAGGAAGGAGGCTAGAATTTATTGAAAGAAAATGATGCCCATAAGGCGCTGTTGGCAGACAGAGGAAAATGGGAGAGCGCCAGAATCACACCCGCTAGCTGGGAGGTAGGGGGTGAGCCCTTGTTAAGCAAGTCCAAGCAGTGCAAAATAAGAGCAGACATGAAGGTTGGAATTTACACACTTCAGATAAAACATATTTGTTCTGCAAATGTCTTCGACCTTGATAGTGTTACAATTCGAGGCAGGTAGGTATTCCATAATCAAGTCATGATAACTTTCCTAATCATCAAATAATCTTGTCACATCTGACAAAATTTAAAACTTACCAAGTTCTTTTTCTCTGTGTCCTTACCTTCTCTGTGTCTTTACCTTCCCTGAAAGTATCAATGGATGCTCTCAGAAAATAGTTGCAAGTAGAGATTTCAGACGTTTTCCAAAGCTGCCATATTTACTACATATTTACATATTACTCTAACACACGGGCATGTTTACACTGGGAGAGAGAGTATTAAACCACCAGTCACAGAACTGCAAAATTATGTTGTGCCCTTAATAGATACACTTTGTCACATACCCAAAGCACTACTTGTGAACATGTCTAATGAAAAATGGTGGGAAAATAGGCAGGGTTGCCATTCTGCACACAAAAAAATCAGCACCCCATACTCTACCTGCGCCCACAATGAGGGCCCTGGGCTGGCAGCTGTGGATGCAATGCAGGAGGGAGCTGGAGCGAATGTTGGAGTTGAGGAAGGCCACCACACAGCCCAGCTTGGCCAAGCCGAACCACACATGAATGAAGTCAGGTTCATTACTCATCAGCAGAGCCACGGTGTCCCCCTTTTTCAGTGTGCAATGGTTGAGGAGGGCATGGGCCACTCTACTACTCCTTTTGTCTACGTCCTGATAGGTGTAGATGGCCCCCTCATAGATGATGAACGGTTTCTCGGGCTGCTTCTTGGCATTTCTCAGGAACTTGTCCAGGACAGTGACCAGCTCCCCGCGAGAGCAGTTTATCTGCAGCCGAATTCCATAGCGAACCACCTTCAGCAGGTACCAGAAGTCATCCCAGAAGTAAGGAAATAGGTGTTTCTGCAAGAAATGCAGGAAGACCATTCCAGCCCCTAGTCCTGTCAGCCATGATAGGAGCATGGGGGCCACCGCGTCAGAAAGCACCCCTCAGTGTCTGCTCTTGCAGCTCTCGGGGGCACCGCGTGGGTCCTCAGTGCTGGGAGCCTGCGGCTTGTGCCAGCCTTTCAAAGGCGAGTGCGATCCTGTAACAGAATCAGAAGTTTGTGCAGAGGAGGCAGCCCCAGTAGGTCTTGGGGCTGTCTTGGGACACCTGGTGTTACTGCACCAAATCAAGAAGCAGCCTCGGGACTCCAAATCTGTGAGCCCTGCCACTCGGCGCGAACTCCCAAGGCGGCCGGCGCGCAGCGGGGCGGTCGGGCACTTTCCAGCGCTCTTCAGCAGCCTCGGCCAGTTCCCGGCGTCCCAGGGACCCAGAGCAAACCCCAACACCCTCAGAAGGGGCAAGTCAGACGCAGATGCTCCGCTTCTCGGGATAGTCTTTCCGGCCACCGGCACTTGGCAGCCGAATCCGAGTTGAGAGAAGGTGCAGGGCGACGGATGAGAAATACTGAGGTTTCTCGTCTCCGCCCTCCAGAACCCGAGCTGGGAGTCCCAGCCACGCCTGGGCCCCAGGGTGTCACCCTGGTGGATGGGATCCGAGCTCGGCAGCGCCCTCACCCCAGCTCGGCTCCGCGCCTCCCAAGAGCGCGCCTTGAACTCACTAAGTCCGCGTGAACTGCTGCCAGGAGCCCACCGCGCCGGCTGGAAGGAAATGCCTCCCACCCCCGTGGAAGGTGCCCTCCCGGGATTCTCGGGGTGGTGAATTTGTTCCCCGAACCCCCGCGGAGGTGTCAGTCGCCTACCGCGCGTCCCCGGGCTCCGGGTCAACCCAGCAGGGACCGCGCTGCGCCCGCGGGAACGGCTCGAGGTGGGAGGGGAGGCCGAGGGGTGCGACTCGGGCAGGGGGAGAGACTCGGGCAGGACTCGCCAGCCCTCGCCCCTGCGATCCCTCCACCCCTGCACGTGCGCTGCATCGCGGGTGGGGTGGGGTGGGGTGGGGTGGGGAACCAACCAGGCGTCAGATCACCGAAGTCGTGGCACCGGGCTGAGGGGAACCAGGTTGGAACTGGGTTCCGGACGCTCTTTCATGAAAGTGATAGCCAGTTATAAAGAGAGATAAAGTAGGGGCTGGAGAGATGCAGGAAAGAATGTAAGAAAAAAGCCCCGGAGGGTAGAAGTGGGGCCAGTGATGGAGATCAGAGAGGGAGAGAGGAAAGAGAACAAACAACAAAAACTATTTCTGGAATAGATCAAGACATATTTGAACTCTGTTTACAAAACATAAAGTTGGTTTGTTGTTTTACATTTTGAAAACACGTTAATAGGCTGCTATTGGCATTTATATTGGATTTCAATCTTGAGCGTGTCTATACAGTGCTTTTTAACAAAGTTTTCCAAAGATGTTGATTTATATGGGAAGTTAAATCCACACCCACATCCAATTTTTAGAAAGTATAGGATGCGAACTATTCTCTGTTTTTAAAAACGACAAGATTATTTTTCAGATTTCAAACTAAGGATTTTAAAATAGAGAGGGAAGTGGAGAACACAGAGGTAAATGCAAAAAAAAAAATACACAGTGATGGGATTTTACTGAAGATAAACTGATACATTTTTCTCTTGCAGACACCATCTGTGCCAGCTTTTGATGCTTTTCAGAAGTGTCTAAAGCGTTAGTTAATTGCACACACTGAAACCATTAAGAACTGCTTCACATTGTAAGGGTTCTTCTTGTGTCTTATGTTCTGCATCTGAGTTCTAGCTAAATTCAGTTTTCTAATAAAGAAAATACAGATAATTGCCAAGACAGACTTTTGTCTATTAATCTGACAATGATTACTTTGAAGGCAAAGTGAGGAGCACAGATGCAAGAGAATCTCTTAGCAATCCTTTGTGTAGATGAAGAATATGCTTCCTAAATTTACTCAGAAGCTCTGGTCTTTTCAATTCTGAAACTTTTTTTTAGTTATGAAAAAGGATTCATATCAAGTTGTTTACAACTTGAAAAGTCAGTTTACAGCTTGAAAAGTATCTCTGAAATTCTATCTTATTCTTTCTTGGTTCTATTGTGATTCAGTTACCTCCTAGAATACAACATTTGAAATGGAGAAAGAATTTTTGGAGTAGTTGGACTCAAACTTAGGAATTTTTCAATACCAGTAGAATCTGTTCTTCTTTAGTAGGGAACAAAAAAAAAAGCTAACATAGGTTTTATATTGTTAAATTAAAAGCATTAAGTACACATTAAAGCAATTACCATCTACTGTCACTATAGTTTCATAAAAGCAAGGATTTATTTCAACATTAAAAAGAAGGGAGAAGAGTATCATTATAATTAAGTACAGTCTTTCAAAATAAATAAAATAGGGCCTCCCCGATGGCGCAGCGGTTGAGCGCTGGGTTGCGAAGCTGCCCGCGGCCTCTGCGGCGCCGGTTCGATCCCCGGCTGCTCCCCGGCCACTGGAGGAGGGTCCCACATGGCGCACAGACCTCTCCTGCCGCCCGCTGCTCCCCTCAGCAGTGTACTTCGGTCCTTCTGCCTGCTCTGCTCCCTGCTCTGGCTCTGGTGAATTCTCTCGCCCTCCCACGCTTCTGACTGTGCCCAGTGCATGTATAAACAAAAACAAACAAACAGATAAAATAAATAAATAAAACATGCCTCTATAAAAAAAAAAAAAAAACAAAATAAATAAAATAAACATCATAAAAAGTGCATTGTGTTAAACTTATTTTTTCTTATAATAGAACTGCTAACACCATCCCAAGGTATGGAACTAAATGTTTAGCAACTCTTTCTATTAGTGAGTCCAGAACATATTGATCACCATAAATATGAGACAGTTTGATTAATTGGGAGAACTACAAACACATACTGCCAAAATTTTTATTGGCCAAGATCAAAGATGAAAGAAAAGATGAAATCTATGAAAATCTTGAAACAGCTAGCAGTACTATGTGCATTTCTATAGCAGCCCACATGTCTGTTTTGATTTCTTCCAGAAACTTGTATTCTCTTTCAAATAGTGCCCAAGACCGCTAAGTAAAGTAGATAAAATTATTAATTATGTTTACTAATTGTTGCAAAATGGAGGAAAGACAGAGGTAGTTGTGACAATAAATTTACCCCTTAATTAAAATAGAAATTAAGGGCCTCCCCGGTGGCGCAGCGGTTGAGCGCTGGGTTGCAAAGCTGCCCGCAGCCTCGCAGCCTCTGCAGCTCCGGTTCGATCCCCTGCTGCTCCCGGGCCACCAGAGGAGGGTCCCACTTGGCGCGCAGACCTCTCCTGCCGCCCACTGCTCCCCTCAGCAGTGTACTTCGGTCCTTCTGCCTGCTCTGCTCCCTGCTCTGGCTCTGGTGAATTCTCTCACCCTCCCGCGCTTCTGACTGTACCCACCGCTTGTATAAATAAATAAATAAAAATAAATCTTAAAAAAAAAAAGTCACCTAAATACTTAAAAAAAATAGAAATTACATAAATAAAATTAATTAAAATAGAATTAAATATGCAAATAGTCTTGACATTTCTGCCAACATTAATTTTTTTTAAGATTTATTTATTTATACAAGAACTGGTGTACAGGCCAGACATGCGGGAGGGAGAATGGATTCACCAGAGACAGAGTGGGGAACAGAACAGGCAGAATGACTGAAATACACTGCTGAGGGGAGCATTGGGCAAGACAGGAGAGATCTGCTGAGCCATGTGGGTTGCTCCGTGGCCAGCAGGGATTGAACCAGCACTGCAGAGGCTGTGCACAGCTTCACAGCACTGCTCTCAACCGCCTGTGCCAGAGAGGCCCCTGCCAACATTAATTTTGAACAGGAATAATGGACTATTTCTCAGGCTCACTTTTAGTAAATACAGAAAATTTACTTTTTTCATTAATGCTGCTTGAAATTAAATATGTAACTAAATTTAAGTCAGCATACAAAGAACCAACTTGCTTTATTTTCAATCTAAAGATGTTCTCCTCTACCCTGTTCCTATTTCTGATTTAACTTTCCTCCCTAACCCACTCCTCCGCACCCTCAGCTCTGTTGAAGATGCTTATATAGTGATTGGATCAAAGTGAGACTCAACATACAGTGTCAGGATGGGGCATGACATCTTATAGGATTTTCCCACCGTGACAAGAATTCTGACTTTATGCAGTTACTTGTGTCCTGAAGTCTTCTGGTGAAGCTCTGTAGCAGTCACACTCTGGATTATGGGAGGTTTTGAGAGAGAGTAGAGGTTCAGAAAGGTCCCTAATAATGCTATTTCAGTATCAAAATAACTACAGCAGCTGTTTGCAATGGACAAAGAAGGTCTCTAAGTACCTGGACTGTGACTGAGGCTTGAGGGAAAGGACAGAAGTGATGTGGATGAGTGAGGGAGATAGCTGGCTCTAAAACTGAGGATGAGAACACTTCATGTAAGACTCATCTGCTTATTACAATTCTATCCAAGAACAGGGTTTTGCTCAGTTTTAATCACTGTTTTAGTCTCTCAACACAGCTTGGCTTTTGATAGGAAGCTTCCTCTGCCTACAATCTTTGTTTATATTAATGAACGATCACTGCCCCAAATATTATTCCTCACAAGGACTCATGAAACAAACTCAACATTAAACATCAGGAGTGCTGTTAGAGGGCTGGGAGGCATTAACATTGTTACATGTCTTAGATACATCAAACACTTCCTTAAATATAAAATTTTATAGCATCAAATAAGGGATCTTATAATAATAGTCTCGGGAACAATTTCCAAACAAATTAAAGATCTTTTTTTTTTTTTTGCCACCAACTATAAGCTATGTCTACAAATTTATGCCAGTCAAGATTTTGCCAAGAAGACATCTTACATATACATTTTATTCATGATTTTTAAAAAACAGCCTTCTAATATCCAGGTATTTCTGTTTATAACTTCCTCAGTGTTGGCAAAATGTACTATTTGGAAAGATATTTATGTAAAGTTTTATCACTCACTCTGAATCCTCAGGGCAGCTTCATTTCTATTTTATAAGCTACCTACATGGAGACAAGTTATTTGGTCATTAGTGAAATAACTCTTGGGAACTTTTATTAGGAATTAACAGTGTTCCAAATATCATAGTGAATTGTTCCAAGAGTTCCTACTAGGGCATATCCCATAAGGTTTAATATTCAGTTTCGAAGCTGAGTGAGGAGTGGAACTTGAGGTTCTTGAGACATTCTGCAAATTTACTACACTCAGAAGTATCTTTTCCCCAATGATTTAATTCTGATAAGTACTTCTCCCTCAGTAGGCAGGTGGTCCAGTGCTGGTAGGTGGTGGTTCAAGATGATTTGGCCACCTTGAACCTGTGCTGCCACTCATGGAGTCCAGCTCCAGCTCTTACCTGCTCTGACTCATTAAGAGGTACATGTAGGGACCAGGAAGGCACATCTGTTGGTGTTTTGCTTGTTTTTTGGTTTTTTATTAAATGAAAAGTTTTAAGTATATATAAAGAAATAACTAATAAACTTATGACACCCCCATGTACTCATCACCTCAATTTTGTGATTAGTTTTCTGCCTAATCTGTTTCAACTTTTTTCCCCTAAAGTATTTTAATTACAGACAATATGACATTTCAAACCTAAATACATCTGGGTTCATCTCTGAGAAAAGGACAATTCTCTACTTAATCACTGTATGCCAGTAACATCTAGTAAAATTAACAATAATTCTTTACCCAGTGCATGTATAAACAAACAAACAAATAAATAAAAAACATGCCTCTATTAAAAAAAATAAAAAAAGCAATAATTCTTTAATACCATAGTCCATATTTAATTTCTTCCAAAATGTCATGTGGAGTGGGTTGGTCTAAAACCATAGTCA